CCTCTCCAAGTCTAAAACTATCCTTCATTCAATTCACTCTAACAACATCCTGTCTCTCCATATTTCCCGATTTAACTATACGGTAAACGGCGTTCATACCGTCTTGTGTACTAAGCTTTTTTGAAAATTCTTTGTTTTGCTATCGCTTTTTCCACCTTAGACTTCTTTTTTTGAAATTTGATATGCCTTATGATCTTCTTCGTTTTTTTGATATTTTCCATTTTCTTTAACCTTTTTTTATCTCTTATTGCCCTTTCGACTGTTCATTATGTCGTACTGGTCCCTTTCTTAACTGGAAAATTGTCTCAGTTTTATTCAGCATACTATTTTTCATTTCAACCTATGATTTATGATTTCAACCTTATCGATGTTACCGCCTACTCGAACCACATTTTGATATACTATCATGATTTCCGGTTTTTTCAATTGTCAGTTTTTAATTCTTGGCTCTGTAATCTTTTCTTTCCCGCCTAAGTATAAAATCAAATATCAAGAGCTTATGCTGTTTAACTTATTTTCGACTAAAAATGGTTTGGACATTTTAAAAGCATCTGTGGCTTTCTCTTTTTGTCAAAATAAAATCTACTGTGCACTTGACTTTCTTTGGTTCATGTGTTATTAAATAGCATTGTTTCATTTTAAGACAACTGTTGTAAATTTTCATGTTCCAGACAATTCAGAAATCTAAAATTCTTTCACCATCTTTGCTCTTTTTCCCATATTCATTTTCAACATTTTTGAGCAAAAAATGGCCCACCGCTTATAACTGGTGGTTGTCGTCAGGATGGGTGTCCGGATGTAAAAACTTTTCCCAAATTACTTTTATGCCATCACAAAGAAAAACAACGGCCTCTAGTCCCCAGCAGGCCTTAAGTGGTCAAGGGGTGCCAAGAATCCCTGGGAAGTATGCAATAGCGGAGGGATGTTCCAGAAATTTCAGAATGGCCCCTCTATGGTACTTAGACTTGGAACGCTCAATGTTGGATCACTGACTGGCCGCAGAACGGAAATCTCAGAAATGCTCGAGCGTAGAAGGATTGATATCTGCTGCCTTCAGGAAACCCGATAAAAATCGAATGGTGTCTGTCATGTCAACTCAGACAAAGAAAAATATAAACTATTCTGGAATGGTCAAAAAACGGCCAAAAATGGTGTTGGAATTTTTGTCAGAGAACCGCTAGCCCAAGAAGTACTGGATATTAAAAGGATTAATTTACGTCTCATGTGGATCAAGCTTCGCATAGAAAAGCAAACAATGATTATTTTTTCTGCATACGCACCACAGACAGGCGAATCAGAAGAGATGAAAAATGACTTCTGGACTGCATTCTCTGACACCATCTCAACAATACCAAAATCTGAAACAATCCTGATTGGAGGCGATCTCAATGGCCACGTTGGAGAGAAAACAGATGGTTTTGACAACGTACATGGCGGTTTTGGCTATGGAAAACGGAATGAAGATGGCAACCTCATTCTTGAGTTTGCTGAAAGTCACAGGTTTTGTTTACTGAATACATATTTTAGAAAAAGGTTGGAACATCTCATTACATACAAAAGTGGACCATAAGCCACGCAGATTGATTTCTTCGCTGTCAAGCAACAACACCGAAGGCTATTCAAAAATGTCAAAGTTATACCTGGCGAATCATGTGTCGCCCAACATAGACTCCTTGTGGCAGACCTGGTTGTCGAACTGTCAAAACATAAATCTAAACAATTGCCTCGGAGAATCAAAACGTGGAAGCTGAAAAGCAATTTTAATCGGGAAAAATTTCAACAGATTGTCGCCACACGGTTAGACCACCAATCGCAAGCCAGTACAGATTGGAGTACATACAAAACCGTTTTGATAAACGCTGCAACTACAGTTTGTGGGAAAACTGGTACAAAACGTTAGCATGAACGTGACACTTGGTGGTGGAATGACAGTGTACAAAATGCAATAGCTGAAAAGAAAGCTGCATACAAGCAATGGCAAAAATCAAAGTCTGTTGATGACCATAAAATTTTCCGTGAGAAAAACAACTATGCAAATCGTCAAGTTGCACTGGCTCGGACAGATCAGTGCAGAAAGTGGCTCACTAAAAACAAAGGTGAACAAAGGAAATCTCTGTATCGTATAGCAAAACAAGCAAAGCGTACGAAACAAGGCATAGTTGGCGCCTCATGTATCAAAAACGACAAAAATGAGATGATCTTTGAACTAGATGAGATCAAGCTACAGTGGAAAGAATACTTCAACCGTCTGTTAAATGAAACAAATCCCATCAATGTCAACTTTGACTCTCCACCCATCGAAGGTCCGATTCCAAACATCACAGTAGAGGAGCTTACAGAAGCTCTGAAAGCTATGAAGAATGGAAAGGCAGCAGGGTCCTCTGGACTCACAAATGACATTATCAAAGCATCTGGTACTGCAGGTATCCAAACATTACCACAACTTTGCCGTGAAATCTGGAGAAATTGCTCAATGCCGACTGAATGGAACTATAGCATGACAGTTCCGCTATACAAAGGCAAAGGTGATCCACTGAACTGTTCATCATATCGTGGTGTACGTCTGTTAGAACAATCCCTGTTCTAACAGACGTTCTATCACACATTTTTGTTTGACATTGAAAAAGCATTTGATTGAGTTCCCCGTGAAGCAATCAGGTGGAGTCTACGTCGACAACTCATTCCAGAATATCTTGTTCGAATAGTGATAGAAATGTATATGAATACTAAGACTCTTGTCAGCACAACGGTCGGGACACACAGATGCATTTGGAGTTCACCAAGGCTCGATTCTCAGTCCACTGTTATTTATAACTGTGATGGAAGAAATCACAAAACCGATACGCACTAGTGACATTCAGAATCTAATATATGCTGATGATATCGTTTTAACAGCCACGTCTGAGCAGAATGCAGCACAGATGTTTGAAGATTGGAACACCAGACTCGCCGATCATGGATTCAAAGTCAACATCAGCAAAACCAAAGCAATGAACACTGGTGAACCCATCCAATCCACAGTTACTGGATGATGGCCCTGTTCAGTTTATAAAGCTGGTGTAGATAACAATTCAATCAAGTGTCAGCAGTGTAACCAGTGGTGTCACAAACGTTGTTCAAAAATAATTGGTACTTTATCTAAAGTGTCTAGTTTTGTTTGTCCTGCTTGCATCAATCCACAACAACAAAATCGAAATAGCAATGTTTTTGAAGTCATTAAGGTAGAGAAAGTCACATCGTTTCAATATCAAGGGGATGTTCTAGATTGTACTGGAACAGCTGAAGCTGCCGTTCAAGCACGCATACGTGCAGCCTGGAATAAATGGCATCTTCTTGCCTCTATATTGATGCGGCGTGACATCCCACTACCACTACGATGAAGACTTTATAAATCTGTGATACGTCCGGTGTTGTTATATGGTGCAGAAACATGGCCAATGACAACTAAACTGGAATAACAACTTCAACAAACCGTCATGAAAATGCTCCGATGGATGCAACGAATTAGTCTGAAGGACCACATCAAATCTACCGAAATCCTGCGTCGTGCTGGTTTAGATGATATAAAGGACAAATGCCGGCAACGCCGTCTGCGGTGATTTGGTCATGTCAAACGAAGTAGAAACAGTGCCATAACTTCTCTTGCAGATGTTGAAGTACCTGGCAAACGTCCCAAAGGCCGTCCAAAGAAGTCCTGGTCGAAAACAATCGAGCGAGACATGAAAGCTCTTAATTTAATAGAAATGGATACAACTGATCGTCTAATTTGGCGCAAAAAGTTGATGACAAAGAAAACAACGTCCTTTCTTGGGGAACCGGGTCTTTGGACGCAAAACGCAATATTTATTTTCAACATGCACTTGTTCATTACCATTACATTTCTTTTTACATGTCATTTAACTTCACTCTTAAAACCATCTATTCTTTTCTAAGCATCCCAGTCCTCATTTTATTTAACTCATTCTAAAATCTATTTTTATTTTCCTCTTTTATACTGTTTTGCTAAGCATATCCTAAAATTACATTTAACAACCCCTCTCCAATTGATAGTTTTTCTATCATGCACCTGTTGCTGCTCTATACTACTCCAACCACCTTATTTATACAATGTTTACTTATCATCATTTCCACACCTGTTTCAGCTTAATCCTTTCTTGTCCAAAATAATTTATACTTTTTTTTAGCTCCTCTATTAATTTGGCTCCTTGATTTCTCCGTCGAACTTTTTGTAAACAGCAAATCGTTACTCTTACCCTTAATTGTACTGTCTGTTGGGTTAATTAGCAATGAGTAATTTACTGGTGACTTATGAGCTATTAGGCACTTTTGATTTTAGTATCATCCCGTTCACTGACTTGAAGTGACTGGTAATAGTGATCTTTGACAATGTTTTCGTTTTCTTGCGATGATGTTTTTATTCTATTATTTTCAACTGTTATTTATTGCTTACAGCCTGGCACCAAGTCGAGCAACATGCTGGAGTTTCTTATTTAAGCCACTGCAGTTCTGGGAATAAGGATTTACGTCCGTGTAAAAAATGTGCGAATGGCTGGAATGGAAAGTACTGCAATGTGTCAGGTTAAAAAAAATTTGTTTCATAAAATAGCTAACTGTTTTGCTATTGAAATTATTCTTGACTAGTATTGTTTAGGAATGGGACGGATCCAAGATTTTGGGATCCGTGGATCCGGATCCGAATCCGGATCTCGACGATGGATCCGCACGGATCCGAATCCGGATCCATGTTGTATGCGGTCATAAAACTAAATAAGCTGTTTCTCTGACGAACCAAAGAAATATTTTTTATTCGTATTTGTATCAAGTTAATTGTAATATTAGTTATATTAAACACAGTAACAAATAGCATTATTCATTATAATTTATTAAAATAAAAATTTTCACAATCAATAAAGTAGAAGTTTAATATTACATTTTTCACTAATCAATCAAATAGTTTTATTCTAGGCAAATTAACTTTCAAAAATGTTAACATTTCAACATTATCCATTAACAACCGATGGCGACCTTTTGTAATCCCCGATGAGACCTTGAATATTCTTTCTATGCACACAGTGCAAGGTGGTGGCGTTAAGTATTTTTTGGCTATTTTTGATAACAGAGGATACTGATTGCGGCAGTGGTTCCAAAATATTAATGGATCTTTATCATGGGAAATTAAAGCTTCTTTCAAATATTTTT